AAGTATTGCCGTGAATTGAGTTGGGATTTTTCGAGGCCACGCATGAGAGTCCCCCCTGGAAACTTAGATGGAAGTCCAGGGTGACTTTTCACAAAACACTGGAAATCTCAGCCAGGATATCACATTATTTTATTATTAAAGACCTGGCAGCCATAGTTGAGAGTCAAAACACACATGGACCTCACATTGTTGACCTCAGTGGGCCTGGTTTCATGTGAAGTTTTGGCCACTCTTTGGGAAGCCTTGTTTGTGATAGTTCTCCTGAGCTTTCATTGAAATGATCTTCCTCACCATTTAATGGTTTGTGAATGAATGGAAACCCACAGTGCCTCCAACTTCATCCTTTAAAAATGGCTAGATAAATACCATGCAATCTTTGAAATTCCCATGACCAGGTGGCACTGGAGATCCTTTGGATGTCCTGTTACTGATCATGAGTATACCAGACAGGTGCCTTGATTGACTGGGTTGCATGAAAATGATGTAGAACAGAGATGCCAGTAAGGTGGGGCCTGCTGAATAGTGGGCCTAGAGCAGTGGTGTGCAGGTGTGTGAAAAAACATCTGTGGTGGGGCCATGTGGATCTGCCATGGGCTTCCAAATGGCTTGTGACTGACATGGTGCAGCTATCAGAACCTTTTATGTAAAGGCATCTTGTTATATGGAGAGGTTTCAAAGCAATGTTCAGAATCAGGTTGCTATGGCCAAGGGGCCAAGCTCTGTGGGATAGAAGCATGGTTGGTGCATTCTCCAAGGACCCTGACCCACCACATGTGACAGAACTCTCTTTAGCACTGTGTCCCAGTTGAACATTTTGTATTTGGTGAATGAAATACCAAACTCCCAGTGCAGCAGCAAGAAACACCACGAAAAATGGAGGATGACGAAATGGCTTCACAGTCCCCACGGGGACACACTTAGCCGCCAGTAGCCACAGTTTACCTACAAAGAGAGAATTCAGCACTTGTGCCTCATGTACATTAACAAATCAGAAACCATGTTCTCCAGGTCACTTAGATGCAGACTCAGCTTTTATGGTCTCACTACAAAGGAAGCTAAAGCTCCTGACAA